CTGGTGCAGAGAAGTCTGCCGTGGGGTGTGGGGTGTCAGCAGCTGTGCCCTCGAACGTGACACCCCTGGCGGGTGCTGGCACACAGCCTCTGCCCAGGACCCCTCAGTGGTACCTCGTCCTGAGGCCACGGCTCGGCTCATGGAACCAACCATGGGACCTTGGCAGCCGTCATCACACCCCGCCCCATGGCTCTCACACCCTGCCCCGTGGCTGCCCTGTGGCGCTCACACCTCCGCCCCGTGGCGCTCACACCTCCACCCCGTGGTGTTCACACCCCGCCCCGTGGTGCTTACACCCCCGCCCCGTGGCGTTCACACCCAGCCCTGTGGCACTCACACCCCCGCCCTGTGGCACACCCTGCCCCGTGGCTGCCCTGTGGTGCTCACATCCTGCCCCATGGTGGTCACACCCCTGCCCTGTGGTACTCAGCAATGCCTCTGGGCCACTGCTGGACCCAAGAGCCCAGCAAAAGACTGAGGGCCTGTCCAGGCCCGTGGACTGACTGGCAGGACCCCTCCCAGGGGCTGCAGATGAGACTGCCCCTGCTGGGACAGCCAGCCAGCTACAGGGAGACGCCCTGCTTCCTGTCCAGCTCCTCCCAGGCCTCACTCCCACCAGCGGCAACCCAGCCTCACCCTGCCCCCCGCCCCCACGCCCCAAACCCACTCCCTGCTGATGGCACCCGGGCGGCCCTCAGGCAGCTCGGACAGGTCCCCGTCTCACCTGGCAGTGGAGTGGGAGCCTGAGACCTGCACACCCCACCACCCACCATCTCCCTGCGCCTTCGAATAGCTGGGGCCAGAGGGCACGGGCACCCCACTTCAGAGGAGGGAGTGAGGCCTGCAAGGGAGACTCTCTCCAAGGTGGGGGCACACGTGGAGCCTGGAGCCACCTGATCCTTCAGGCCACCTCCAGGCTGCCTCCCCTCTGCTCTCCTGCCTGTGGTCCCCACCGTCTACTCGGGATCTCGGGCACACATGCACACGTGCCTGGTGTGAGTATAAACCACCGGGTCCAGGACTCAAACCACGGCCGACGACATGGGAATCCAGCAACACAGCCGTTACACCAACTGCTGGTCCCAAGCCCCTCCACTATTTTTGTACTGATTATTTATTTCCTATGTCAACGTGTTATTAAACTGACAGGCGCCTGCAGGTGACAGCCTTCAATGCCATGCCCACCCAGCCTGCACACATCTGGAACCCCAGGGACAGCCGCTGGCCTGAGCCTGTGGGTCCTCTCAGAAACGTCTGTGGGCATGAGCAGGAGCTGCCAGGGCGGCCGAGGGCTGGAGCGCAAGGCGCCACGGGCACACCCTGCCCGCAGGCTGCCTCCGTGTGGCCCTGGGCCTCAGGATGCCTCTCGGGCCTGCAAGGCCAGATTGGGCCCGCTCACCACCCAGGCAGGGCCCCCGGCACCCTTGGGCTCCTGCCAGACCAGGATTCCCGGCCGCCAGGCCTGCATGCCCACTCTTCCCAGGACGCTGGTTAAGGGCCGGGGGGTGCAGGAAAGGACGCAGCTGGAGCTGCCAGCCTCCAGCTACCACGGGGAGCCTCGGGCCATTCAAATACCCCCAGAACCTGAGGAGGCGGCCTCTCATAAGGCTCCCAGGCCCATCCGCTCCGCGCTGAGGGAGGCTCCAGGCACTCGTACTGGGCAGAGGGCAGTGGGTGCGAACACATCTGTGCCTCCCCACCGTGCCAGGGGGAGCCAGGGGGCGACAGAGGGCTGGGCCCTGGGGAGCACTCCAGAAGCAAGCGGCCCTGCAGGGTCCAACGTCACAGCAGGGGGCCGGGCAATGGGGCTGGGCGGGAGGCACCATGGGCTCTGGGTCAGAAGAGCCCAGCGTGGCTGCGGTACCAGGAGTGGCCCACAGGGGCGAGAGGACTGAGGCTCCTGGAAGAGCCGGGGTGGGTGGGGTGTGAGAAGGCAAGGGTGACCCGTGGTGCGCCCGCCTGGAAGGTCCAGGTCTGCTGGCTGGGCAGGCTGGGGCAGAGGTTGCAGAGGGCAAGTGGGTCCCCGGGCACTAGATGACCCCGAGTTCTAAGGTGTGATTCCTGGAGAGCAGGTGGGCACACAGGCAGGCCATGGGGAGGCCTCAGGGTGTGCTTGTTAGGGGAAGGGCTTGGGCGGAAGCAGCAAACCCTGGGGTACACCACAGGGCTCCCCGCCACACGTGCGTGTGTATGCGCCCCAGCACCTGAGCCCAGACACCCTCCAGGCTGGCCAGGGGCCCCGGGCCCGCACCCCACGGTGGCCCTTCTGCCTGGGCCCTCCCTACACCTCTGGACCCAGCACAGAGGGCTGGGAGGAGAGGACACCCTTGCCCAGAGGTGCACGCTGCGGGTGCACACCAGGGCTCCATCACTGGGCCCATGGAGTGGGATGCACCGGTTTCCACGTGCGGCCGAGGAGCCAGTGCTGCTGCTCGCGAGGCTGAGGCAGCCCAGCATGAGAAGGGTGCGGTGCGGTCGGAGGGAGCCAGGTGCCAGGGAGAGCCACAGGCAGGCCATGGTTACTGCGTTTATTGTGGGCAGGGGCCACGTGGAGCATGGGCCAGAGCCGTGGGCGGGCGGGTCTGCGATGCCGGCCGCGGTCACACCACCTCATCGGTCACCGGGATGGGGTTGAGCTGGGGGCCACCTGGAGGGCCTCCTCCTGCCTCCTCCCCTTCGCTGGGCTTCTTGCGGGCCTCAGCCGGGGGCCGGGGTGGGGGGTTGCTGGGCGGCTGCTTGATGGTGCCTGCAACCTGCGGCCGCTCCTTGGGCTTGGGCTCGATGGGGGTCCACTGCTCGCCTCGGATGGCTGCCTGCAGGGCAAAGAGGGGCTGGCCGTGGGTGAGCCTCCCTCCCAAGGGCCACCCACCAGGGCACCAGGACAGCCTGAAGCTGTGCCCACCAGGGAAGGTGTGACAGCTGCTCAGAGAGGCTGTTGACCGGCCCACGGCCACACAGCGAGGACCAGGCTCTGCTGACCCCAACTCCAGCTGTCTGGTCATGCTGGAGGGGCACAGCCCAGGCTGATGGACACTGCCCTGGAGGTCACTTTCGGGAGCCAACTCCGAGGCCCGGGGGTTCCCCGGCTTTCTGCCGAGGGACTGAGAGCAGGACTGTCCCTCCACATCCGCAGGCAGCTCTCGGGAAAGGGCAGCTGAGTTGGGGCGCCCCCGCCACCCTAGCCCCACCCTGACCCACAGCTTCCGAAGTGCCCAGTGTTTCTGCAGACGCTGGTTAGAGCTCCCCCAGTCCTGGGCACCTGTGTTCCGGACTCTCAGCCCGGACTACCTGGTAAAAGCCCTAGAACAAGCCGTGAGGTCCCACTTCCTGACTTACAAACGTCCTATGTTCTATCCTGAACGAGGCCGAGTGAGGCTACTGGAAGGGCATTCAGGAAAATCCCGTTATGACCGAGGGCAGGGAGGGTTCCAAACAGCACAACCCACTGCGACCAGCAGGTGGCGGACTAGTTCCATCACTGGACTGCCTCCCACTCGGCCAACCAGGTAGTCCTGGACCTGGCGGTTTGAATTCATGCCGGGAGCATGAGCCCAAGATCCAGAGAGGAAACGGAGGAGAAGGGATTGAGGCATGGCCATCCCCCAGGGGGTTATTTCTCGCTTTCTGTCTCTGTCTCTCTGACAAGCACATGGGTCCTACAGCAAAAATCTCTCAAAAAAAAAAAAAGCCATAAAAAGCAGACAAACTTGGGCCCTGCTCCCAACGCGCCCCAAGCTGGAGCTTAGAGGCTGCAGACCAAGTCTGACAAAGGGCCCTTGGTGGGCCATGTGACCTGGCCGGGCGTGGCCCCTCTGAGTTCCCACCCCTTCATGTGGACCTTCCCAGCCCAGGGCAGGGCAGAGTTCTGTGCCACCCACAGCTTGGCGAGGGCCCAGGTTGCTGAGCACGAGGCGCTAGGGGCCGACCACGGAGGGTGCTACTCACCAGCAGGTAGATGCCACTGGCGATGGCCAGGCAGGCAGTCCCCAGGATGGTGGCCAGAAGGAAGCCGGCAGGCACAGACAGCCTGCGAGGGAGGGGACACCGTCAGGCCCGAGCCCTGGGGCTCCAGCCAGGAGAGCTCAGGACATGCGGGGCTGCCAACCTGCTGCCCCCGCCTGACCCAGGACCACAGGCCTGCCCAGGTCAGGCTGCTCCCGGCCCTCCCTGCCTCTCTAATCCTGGGGCCACACGCCCTCCACTTGCCGCAGGTGGGCGGGCAGTGCAGGGGTGTGGCCCCACTGGGCCCGGAGCAACCACCAGGCCCGGGAGAGGGGACGGCTCCAGGAACCACCCGGCACTGGCAGGAAGCACCCGCAGTGCCCACAGGGCAGTCCGGGATCACCCTAAGGCCAAGGCCATGGCCAGGCACTCCGGGAGCCCAAGACGCCGCCTCCGCCAGAGTGGGACCTGGGGTTTCTTTAGAAAAACTTCCGCGGGGTGGTGCTGGTGCCACTCTCCCCGTTAGGCAACCAGGGCGGGGGAGCTGGGGGGTCCACCCAAAGCTAGCGGATGGAGCAAGTGGTGTGGGGCTTGCAAGAGGTGCAGGGTGGGGCTGTGCTGCGCAAGGTGGGATAACGCAGGTGTAGCTGGCTGGTCTAGGGAGGCAGGTGAGGTCTAGGACAGCCTAGGGGCAGTGTGGGGCCGGGTGGAGGGTGTGGTTCAGGCAGGGCGGGGTAAGAGGCAGTCCAGGGTCCTGGGTGGGGCAGGACGGGACTCACAAGAGGTGCAGAGTGGGACAGGGCGGGGCTGTGCATCCAGGGTGGGGTTCACAGGAGGTCCAGGGTGGGACAGAGCAGGGCAGGGCGGGGCGGGGCAAGGCGGGGCTCACAGGAGGTGCAGGATGCTGCGGACGAAGTAGTTCCTGGTGAGGGGCCCGAACAGCTTCACCACGGGGGTCATGTACTTCTGGCCGCTAGGAGAGCGAGTGGGCAGGGAAGAGACTTGCGCTGGCTCCGCCCACTCAGGATGCCACCCCCTTTCCCCCTCCCCCCAGGCCAGGTCCCGCTTCTGCCCGGGGCTGAGGCCCCGCAGCTGGGCAGGCCCGGCCAGCGCTGTCGGGCAGGACACTGGCAGGGCCCAGCTTCGGGCGGGAGGCCAGCAGGGTCGCTGGTCCACGCCGACCGCGCTCAGGACCCGGGCGGCTCACCTGCGCTCCATGGTGGAGCCCGATCTCCTCTTCCCCCGGGGGTACTCCAGCAGGCAGACGAACACCCCCGCCGCGCTGACGCTGGGTTAAGGGACAGCTCTGGCCACGTGGCTGCGCCCTCCCCCTCCCCGCCTGCCTCCTACGCGCCGGGCACCCAGGGCTGGGGGTGGGCAGCTGGGGTGGGCCATGACCAGCATGTGGCCTCGGGTCAGTGGCTTTTGGACCTCCGCCATGGCCAGCTTGTGGCCTCGGGTCAGTGGCTTGGCCCCTCCGAGCCTGGGCCCCAGAGCGGGCCGCCCCGTCCCTCGGAGCAGCAGGTGCGGAAGGATACATGGAGTAGGCACCAAAGTACCACTGCGTGAAGCGCCCGGCGGTGGCCACGATGCCCCCTGCGAGGAGAACTGCAGACCGGCTGAACGTTAAGGCCTGTCCCAGGGCTCACGGCAGGGCCTGCGCCACCCTCTGGGTCCACGATGCCCCGCGGAGTTGCCCTGCAGATGACCCCTCGGAGCAGCAGGTGCGGAAGGATACATGGAGTAGGCACCAAAGTACCACTGCGTGAAGCGCCCGGCGGTGGCCACGATGCCCCCTGCGAGGAGAACTGCAGACCGGCTGAACGTTAAGGCCTGTCCCAGGGCTCACGGCAGGGCCTGCGCCACCCTCTGGGTCCACGATGCCCCGCGGAGTTGCCCTGCAGATGACGCCCCGCACGGGTGGGGGAAGGTCGCATCCCCAGCAAGCCACCTCCTTCAGGACCCGGTGGCCACAGCTGGACGGGGAGCGTGGGAGCTGCGGGGCCAGCGCCTGCGGGGACGCCCTGCTGCCCTGCCCCTGCCACGCTCCGCGGGGACCCCGTGGCACTCCGGGCAGAGCCCTCAGGTCAGGAGCCGCGGTGTGCCTCACCCTGCCCGGCCCCCTCCAGCCCAGCTTGGCCCGGGTCTTGCTCCCCGCCTGTGAGTGCCCGTCCCGCACCCATTCCTCTGCGTGCTCCGGTTGCTTTGCGGTCAGATAAACGTAACGCACCGCTGGCCATGTGGGCCACCTAAGTGCGCCGCTCAGGGGCCCTCAGTCCGGTGGCTCGCTGCCACCTCCGCCGCCCACCTGGGTCCCAGGCACGGGTCCAGGCAGTGACCACAGCCCCAGAGCAAGCTGGGGACCAGCCGGAGCACCCCCCTTCCCCGCCAGGAGCCCCGCCGCTGCTCCCTTGACTGGGTGACCACGCTCCACCCCTGCCGGGTCAGCTGCCGTTTCTCGTCACTGTGCGGCTTGAGCGCAGGGCCGCAGTTCTCCCGCGCTGCGCTGTCCGGAGGTCAGGCTGCCGCTGGAGCTGCTGCTCCTGTCCTCTGAGCAGCAGGACGGTTCCTGGCTGATGCCCGCACGTCTGAATTGGCGTTCTCTTCCTAAAAGGCTTTTTTTCTGGAGAAGGTGTCACTGTCCTGATCCTCCTGCCTCGGCCTCCCAGCTGTCCCACGGCACAAGGCCACCCCAGCTCTCCTGCAGGCTGGGTCTCGCCGTGTGGCCCAGGCCACTGTGTCAACCTGGCCACGTCACTTTCAGCCTCCATGTCTGGAGCGCTTGCGGAGGTGCTGTCCTTTAAGGGGGAACACCCTCGCCCTGGATCCAGGTCGGTCGGCCTTGACTCCGCGCCACGCCCTCTGTCCTGCGGGTCTGCACTGCGTGAGCCACACTAGCGCCATGGCCCCACGACACCCGTGGGTGCTGGCTTTGCCCCACTCACCACGGCGAGGCATTTCTTGCCAACCTACCTCACTCTATCCTTATTTTTTTTAAAGAATTATTTTATTTAACTTTATTTACTTATTTATTTATTTATTTTAACTTGACCAGAGAGGGACAGAGCGAGAGTGAGACCGAGAGAGAGAGAAAGCGAGAAAGCCAGCTGCCAGGTCCGGGGCTCACCAGGAGGCCATGCCCGACCACCACGCCATCTGCTGGCCCTTATCCTCACTTACTGATTTATTTTATTTATTTATTTTTGAGAGGTTTTTGCTATAGGGCGCATGCACTCACCAGAAAGAGAGACAGAGAGATAGAAATCGCCCCCCAAGGGAGATGACCACACCACAATCCCTTCTCCTCCATTCTCCTCTTGGGATTATGGGCATACACATGCATGTGCCTGACATGACTTTCAAGCTGCCGGGTCCAGGACTTGAACTACGTAGGAGTCCAGCGCCTTACCTGCTATGCCACCTGCTGGCCCAAGGTTGCCTTTTTTAAGATCCTCAATTGACTTTTTGCAATTTCTTCCTTCTATATATATATATTTTTTTTTTGAGAGGTTTTCGCTATAGGGCACGTGCGCTTGCCAGACAAACAGAGGAAGACAGAGAGAGACAGAGAGACAGAAAGAGAGAAATCACCCCCCAGGGGGGATGGTACCCCTTCTCCTCCATTGTCCTCTTGGGATCTTGGGCACACACGCACACGTGCCCAGCATGAGTTTTAAGCCACCGGGTCCGGGACATGAACCGCGGTCGACTACGTGGGAGTCCAGCAACATAGTCATTACGCTAACTGCTGGTTTCCTCTATATATATTTTAAAGAATTTATTTTTTTAATTCCATTTGTTATTATTATTTTTTAATTTGACCAGACAGAGACAGAGAGAGAGAAAGGGACAGTGAGAAAGCAAGCCGCCAGGTCCAGGACTTGAACCTCACTCAGCCATGTGGGAATCCAGTGCCCTTAGCCACCATGCCACCTGCTGGCCCCCTTGTATATATTTTAAAAGCCTCTGAGGAGGTGATAAAGGGACTCAAATTGGACCAGGAGCTTCCACCATGTCGTCATCTCCTTCCCAGATGGTTCAGGAGCCTGCACTGCATCTCCGAGGGCCCACTGCTCACCCCCACGCTGTCTTCACTCTAATGCTTAGATCGGTTGGTCTTTTGTCCAGCCCTCCCCCCGTTTTAGTTATTACTTATTTACCTCTATTTGTTATTATTATTTTTAACTTGACCAGACAGAGACGAGACAGAGAGAGGGAAAGGGAAAGCAAGAGAGCAAGCACGAGGCCCAGCACCCGAGAGCCACACGGGCGCGTGTGCACGTGTGCCTGAACCCTGAGTGGCCAGAGGACACACGGCAGTGAGACGGTCAGTCCCGGGGGCTCCTTCTCACGTTCTCCAGTGACCCAATGTGTCCTATAGCAAATTCCAAAATAACTGAATAGGGACCAGCAGTTGGCATCATGGCTATGTCGTTGGACTCCCATGTAGTCAACCACAGTTCGAGCCCCGGACCCAGTAGCTTAAACTCACGCCGGGCGCGCGCGTGTGTGTGTGTGTGTGTGTGTGCCCAAGATCCCAAGAGGAGAATGGAGAAGGGATTGTGGCGTGGCCATCCCCCTTGGGGGGTGATTTCTCGCTTTCTGTCTCTCTCTGTCTTTCTGGCAAGCGCACGTGCCTTTTAGCAAAAACCTCTCTCAAAAAAAATAAAATAAGTGAATAAATTTCTAATATTTAAAGCTACTTATTAAATGTACTAAATATACTTTAATGAGTATTACTTAAGTATTTATTAAAATTCCCCTCTGGGACGCCCAGCTTCGGCCTCACCCCGACTCTCTGTTGGGGACTCTGCAGTGAAGCCCTGCTGACCCGTGCCAGCATCTCGGACCCCATCGTTTCCTCTGGGCCGTCTGCCTTCGTCCTGGAGAGTCCTCTGTAACGCGTACACCCTCGTCCTCACATGGCAGCTCACGGACGTGGGTGCGAGGAGACACTCTCCTCTGTGCACCCGAGCAGCAGCCCTCCCTCTGCTGGCATCTGTCACCGATGAGAATCATTCTGTTCTTGGTGTAGCTTTTTTGTTGTTGTTGAAGAGAAGTTTTTGCTATAGGGCGCATGTGCTTGCCAGAAAGGCAGAGACAGAAAGACAGAAAGCGAGAAATCGTCCCCCTGGGGGATGGCCACACCGCAATCCCTTCTCCTCCAATCTTCTCTTGGGATCTTGGGCATGCACGCACACATGCCCGGCGTGAGTTTAAGCCACCGGGTCTGAGATTTGAACCGTGGTCAATCACATGGGAGTTCAGCGACGTAACCATTAGCCATCTGTTGGTCCCATGGTGTAGCTTTTAAGGTTCTCTTTTTTTTTTTTAAGAATTATTTTATTCATTTATTTATTGTTATTTTTTTTAGAGGTTTTTCCTAGACAGACAGAGAGAGACAGAGAGACAGAAAGCAAGAAATCACCCCCCAGGGGGGATGGCCACGCTGCAATCCCTTCTCCTCCATTCTCCTCTCAGGATCTTGGGCACACACGCACACGCACCTGACGTTAGTTTTAAGCCACCGGGTCCGGGACGTGAACCGCGGTCGACTATGTGGGAGTCCAGAGACATAGCCATTATACTAACTGCTGGTCCCAGTCATTATTATTTTTTAAAGAATTATTTTACTTAACATTATTTATTTATTTTATTTTGACCAGAGTGCGAAAGAGTGAGAAAGCAAGCCGCCAGGTCCAGGATTTGAACCCAAGGTCGGTAAAGCAAGCCGCCAGGTCCAGGATTTGAACCAAAGGTCGGCCATGTGAGAGTGCAGTGCCCTTAACCACCATGCCACTTGCCGGCCCCATTATTTTTATGTTGTTAAATTTGACCAGAAGAGAAAGAGAGAGAGAAGGAAGGAAAGTGAAAAAGCAAGCCGCCGGGTCTGGAACTCGAACTACGGTAGACCACGTGGGAGTCCAGTGCCTTAACCACGACACCTCTAGGTTCTCTTTACTGGTCAACATGTTTTTGTTTTTTTTGCCATAGGGCATGTGAGCTTGCCAGAGAGGCAGTGAGGAGGGAGGGTGAGAAATCACCCGGCGGGGGGATGGCCACGCCACAGTCCCTTCTCCTCCATTCTCCTGAGGTTCTGGACACAGACAGGTGCAGGGCGTGAATTTCAAGCCACTGGGCCTGGGACCTGAACCACAGTTGGCCACATGGGAGTGCAACACCACATCATCATGCCACCTGCAGGCCCGGGTCTAACTACTTTTATACTTTTTTTGGTTTTAAGGTGTGTGCACTCACCAGAGACAGAAAGGGAGAGAGGAGTCACCCATGGGTGGCCATGCCAGTCCCTCCTCCATTCCCTTCCTGGGCTCTGGGGCACGCACGCACACGTGCCAAGTGTGATTTCCAAGTCCGAGCCGGGACCAGAACCACAGCTGGCCACACGGGACCCAGCACCTTAACGTCCATGCCAGCATCGGATCACCGAAGCCCTCTCTCATAAGGCCTGAGTGCTGGGGTAGGAGCCCATGGGGTCTGCTCTCCGCTCCCGGGGGCACGCTCTGGGCCCACGCTGGGTCCACACAGCTACCACTTGACCCCTGCTTCCCCCTGCAGAACCCGCCGCCCGCCCGGCCACAGACCCCCTTCGCCCCTCGGC